GAAAAAGCAGCCTCCTATTGAGAACCACAGGAAAAGCCAGGTGTTGCAGGGCAGAGTCAGGCTTCAGGCTTCAGGTCTGCTAGGAGGTAGAGGGAAGTAAGCCAGGTGATTGGCATATGGGGTCCAGAGGGCATTATGAGAAAGATTTAAAGAGGAGATTGGCCAAGGAAGAAAAAACCCACAGCAGAATGGACGAGGACAGGAGAAAAAAAGTCTGTGGCCCATTTTAACAGTGGGTATACCTATTATACCTGGGAGATTAGGCTAGCTTTAAGTTTTCCAAGGACTTCTTGCTGTTCCCAGAAGCTTTTATTTGTTCAGGACAACACATTCCTCCTTCTGGTAAATGCTCCTTCTAACCAGGTGTGTCATGTCAGAATCATAACTTTTCACAAACCCCATCTTCTTGATCACTGTGATTCAGACAGTGGGTGAGGAGCTGATGCAAGCTAGACCGCTTGTAGCCCTTCCCTGGGAGTTTTGCCATTAGGAGCAGAGATGCCAGGTCTCATGCCCTTTTCAGTGGCAGAACTGAAGATATGGCCTGCGAATTGCTACTGGCTATGTGTCCTGACTTAGGAAGAAAGCTAGTCAGGGAGAGTAAAGCTAACTGAGGGAGGCCTGCTGGCATTCCAGTCACTTTCAGTCATCTCTGAAGCCCTCTGCACCCTGGCCCTTCCCATGCTTTGGTTATGTGAACCTCTGAATCACCGTATTTGCCTAAGTTAGTGCAACCGGTATGCTGAACATGCAGGAAACATCAGGGGATAAACACAGCCACTTTCATTGGTGTCTCTCTGTCCCCTTAAGACGTTTTCAGTGTGGGAGGTCCAGAGAACTTTTTGGTACCTCTGAGGTAATAGAAATCCCATGGTCACATTGAATCACCAATTCCAAAATTAGTGTCCTGCCTTATGGCAATGGTCATAGCTTTCTGTTTGTTCAGAGCTGCAGTGACTTCCCCTCCCTGCACAGGGCTTAGAACCAGCGGTGCCGACCCAGGGAGGGGATGTGCCCTGCTTGTCCTCCTCCTTCCACTCGTCCCCCAGTTGCTGGCTGCGGTTTTGGACCTCTCTGGAGTTGGTGGGGAAAGGAGAGGGAATGAGCAGAGAAGACACAAGATAGTGTCAGCACTCCCTGAACTGGCAAGTGTGTAAAGCTGACCCTTGTGGGGTTCTCTTGTAGACATTTTGGAGACCCCTCCATCTGGGGACCTCTCCTCTGTAGGTCTCCTGATATGGGCAATGCACTCACCAAAGCCTTGTCACTCACTCCTTCTGTAGCTCCTGGGACTCCTGGTGTCTGCTCTTGATTCTGTCTGCTGAGGACCCTTCAGCCTGCTGGATACATCTTTAGGAAAGGACCTAAAACAACCCAAACTAGCTTATTCATGCATCATTTTCTGCAACAAATTCTGGGAGTGCAGGCCAGTTGCCATGCAGCTCTATCCTTTGCAGCCAGTGCATCTTGTGTCCTTTATGTTTCTCAGGTAGAATTCAGACACCTGGCAGTCCACTGTATTCCCCATTCTTTAAGGGTTATGTTAAGCTTTTCTCACCAGGCTTGAGTAAGAGCCAAGTACTACCCATTTTTCCCCTGCAGGAAGGTGGAGTTCATAACACTGCTGTCTCCAAAGAAATTCTTCAAGTCCTCTCTCCCTTAATGTCTCACAACCAGTTCCTTTTATATTTGATGTTGGGAGAGCTTTTAGAATGATGTAACAAGTTTTCAGATATTTCCTTGGAAAATCTGCATCCTAGTCTAGCACCTCACTTCAGTGTCTGAAACTTAATCATCCTAGAGGCTTGGCTGAAACTGTCTTAGCATCTTAGCATCCTGTTGGATTTATGACCACTGTAACCAAATAATCCTGATAAGAACAGTTAACAAATATTTATTAAGTATGCAGCCACAAAAGAAAAACGCCTCCAGCCCTCTGCCAGTGTAGGACAGAGTTTACAAACTGTTAGCCTGCTGCCTGAATCCTGTCCATGGACATACTTTGGGTGATCCTCATAATCTTTCATTTTTTCTTGAATCTAGTGCCAGTATTTACAAATAGAGGAATTTTAACCTCTGGAATTTAAGATCTAGATTCCTGGCTTTAAAAAAACAGAAGATGTGGGGGCTTCCCCGGTGGCGCAGTGGTTGAGAGTCCGCCTGCCGATGCAGAGGACGCGGGTTCGTGCCCCGCTCCGGGAGGATCCCACATGCCACGGAGCGGCTGGGCCCGTGAGCCATGGCCGCTGGGCCTGCGCGTCCGGAGCCTGTGCTTCGCAACGGGAGAGGCCACAGCAGTGGGAGGCCCGCGTACCGCAAAAATAAAAACAGAAAATGTGGCGACGCTGGGACTGCATTGCTGCCTGGCATAGTTAGCTGGAGGTGGTGGAGGCTGCCCCCTTTGACAGGAGGGACTCCATTCCCTCTTGGCTCTGTGACCTGAAGCCAATGTCAGTTGCCATTTATCATCATTGGGCTCATGCAGTTACCTTTTCTTAAATTAAGGACTAAAGTGAAATATTCCTGGTACTCCCGTTTCTTAACAAAAGAGAAAAAAATAGATAGTCCAAAAGAGCCATGGAAGGGAGAGACATAATTTATTTAGAGATACAAAGTATTCTTATGTGTTTAATGTGCAGTTAGTGTGTTTGTGTACGTGTGTGTGTAAAAGACAACTTAAGATGCCATTGGAAAATAACCCATAAATATAATCATGGTTACTATACAAAAATATGTGGTGAGAAAAAGACATTTCAACAGGATTTGTTTTTAGTGCAACTAAAATAAGTTGTGTGATTTGCTGCAGGAGGGCATTACATTCTCCCACTTCCCTGGCTTATGTTATGTTCTTACTTGGCCCCTGATGTTTCAGTTTGCAGCAAGGGGAAAATATTCTCTGGCCTCTCTGCAGGGAATCAGCCAAAATGTGGATTCATTGTATATCCAAGGGGGTCTTAGCTCAGATCTGAGAAGGAGTAACAGGATAGTTTCCCCAAGGCTATGGCCACTTGGAGAAAAAGCAACAGGTGTTGGCAAGTTAATGAGGTTTTCTTTTTCATGAAATGATAAGATAGGATTGTTGAAAGAGTATTCAACTTTGAAACTAACTCTTTTGGCAAATTTTGTTTTCAGTTTATTTTTTAAATTGAAACCTTATTGATTTTTATAAGTTCCTGTTAAGCAAAGTCTGTTATCCATTTATCTGAATTAGAGCAAAACCAGAATTATTTTGAGGAAAGGCTTTCACTTGCCCAAGTATATTCTCTTAGGAAGCAAGCCTTCTGTTGAGTTGTGTGTTGGAATCGTTATATCTTCAGTTTTAAGAAGAGGAATTATTCTCTCCCTGCAGCTCTGCTGCTTATGAAAGTGTGCAGTCTGGCCTTAATTGGCCTTGCAGAGTGGCTCCTGTGAGGTTCTTGTCAGTGTGTGTAATTTCCCTCTTTTTGCCATTCATTGTTTATTAAAGACCGAGTTCTTTGAAAGCTGTGCTGCATGGCCTTTTCCAAACAGTTGTTTGGTCTTGGTATTGGGTTTTACCCTCAGATTAAGCGAGGCCAACTAACTACATTCCTAGACCACCTTATTTTGGCACAGCTACTTTACACACACACACACACACACACACACACACACACACTTTGCAATCATTGAATAAAGCTATATGAAACAATCTTATGACACTTCCTGTCATTTCTTTATACAAATATTTTTGAGGACACAGAGGAAACTTCCCTAAATTCTTAGTATCAGGAAGAGCTGGGGGTTGGGGAGGGGGGTGGGATGAATTGGGAGATTGGGATTGACATGTATACACTAATATGTATAAAATAGATAACTAATAAGAACCTGCTGTATAAAAAAAATAAAATAAAATAAAATTGCAAATCAAAAAAAAAAAAGGAAGAGCTGGGATTCTCCTGGTTTATATTATGGACACTGTAAACCATTAAAACAGTGCGTTGCCTTTAGTTTTAGCTGTGAGAAACCTTGGGGATATATCTATAATCCTCTTCCAGCAAGCACATAAAACCTTAGGACAACCACTTTTGGTATTCTTATCCTGGCTGCTTTTTACTATTTTTCCTATGCTGATTTCCCCTTTGCCTACAAGATTTTTAAAAAGATTTCTTCTTTTTAAAAATCTTGTACTTCAGGGCTTCCCTGGTGGCGCAGTGGTTGAGAGTCCGCCTGCCGATGCAGGGGACACGGGTTCATGCCCTGGTCCGGGAAGATCGCACATGCCGCGGAGCGGCTGGGCCCGTGAGCCATGGCCGCTGAGCCTGCGCGTCCAGAGCCTGTTGCTCCGCAACGGGAGAGGCCACAACAGTGAGAGGCCCGCGTACCACAAAAAAAAAAAAAAAAAAAATCTTGTACTTCAGAAAATTTTGTAAAACTGCTTCAACTTTGTTTTAGAATGAGGGAAGATATAGAGAAATTAAGTACAATATCAATGATTTATCATTTGTTGCAAACATATTACCAATTTGTTTTTAGATTTCATTTTAAATTTCCTGTCCTTTATGAAATCAGGTCTATCGCTTCTTTGTGATTGTCATGAAGAGGATCATTGCCATGGATTTGAGCACCCCTTGCTACCATATTTTTACCCCATAGTTAACATGACTGATTCAACATAAATCTTAGAGCTTATAGCTTAGAGGAAGCAGAGGTTACTTCTGACACTCTTACTTCTCCAAGGGTCCCATTTAGTGGCTAAATTTCAGTTTCAAGTACCACATTTGAACAGGAGGACAGTTATATGTCAGCATAGGAGTGGTTGGCCTATAAGGCCTGGGAAATACCTGGCATTGAACCTGGTCCTTCACAAGACAGGTGTTCAGCAAGAGTTTGGTGACTTAAATTTACTTGCGGCTTATGTGTTTGGATCTGGAAGCAGTTGCCCGCCCTTGTGGTCTGGGTCTGGGTTGGGGAGTGTAATCTACTAGTGTCAGTAGAGGCTTGACACCAGTGACATTTTCTGCTTTGTTTTTCTTTTTCAGAATATGATCGGTTGGGCTTCCTCCTGAAGTTGGACTCTAAACTGTGAGTAGAATGAGACAGTTCCTTGACTCTGTTGTAGAGAGGTCTGAGAGCTGGGGGCCAACCTCCAAGGGCCAGCTCTCATCACACCTGTGGTTGTTGGTGGATCCCTGGGGCCTCTGTCCTCAGTCTGTCAGCTGAAGCTTAGAGCACATTACAGTCTGCAGGGGCCTGGAGAGGATGAGATTGTGGGTGCAAACATAAGGCCTTAGATTTGGCTGGCACAGGAAGCTTGTTACAGAAGGAGCTCCTGCCAGGAGTTTGAAGGACAAGGAGGAAAGGCTTCTGCTGCAGAGTGGAGGATGATGGAGTCACAGCAGGAGGCATTGCAAAGCCTTTCAAAGATGCTCTGCAGCCAGACAGGCAAAGCCTTCTGTGCTCAGGCTTCCTGCATGCTTTAACTCCTGTCTCTCTCCCACAGGTCGATCCTCCCTTTCCCTTCTACTCTTCTATATGTTTTTTATCTGTGTCTGAAATCCCCTTTCCTTGCATGTCCACTAGGAAAACTTAAAGTCCACCTCCTTCCTATACAGATTTAATTGTCTCTTCCTCTGCTTCCTGTGAATTTTCTACCTCTGACACCCATTATCTCATTATACTATAATTAACTGTGTAATAGTTATTAATTTATTAAGAGCACAGGCTCGGAACCAGGCCATGCTTGGTTCAAATCCCAGATTGCCATTTACTTTCTTTGTGATTTGGGGCGGACCACTTAACCACTCTGAACCTCACTTTCACCTGTAACATGAGGACATCAGTATATCTACCTCACAGGGTCATTGTAAGGATTGAAATGAAATGGTGAATTTATGGAGGCTTTCAGATAGGTATCTAATTCTTTCAGAGTCCTTCCCTGTCCTGGCCCTCTTGGTCTCCCTAGCACCTAGGCAGCGCTGCCATATGTTTGTTAGGTGCTCAGTAAACACTGAATTCATGGCTGCATGGATGGCTGCATGGCTGCACGGATGACAGGTGGATGCCTGTGTGCTTCCCTCATTAGACTGGGTTTCCTGGAGATTGGGCTCTATCCAGTCTGCATTCGTGCCCTGCACAGGACCCCTCACGTGGTGGATGTGCAGGAAATGGTTGCAGAACTGCCTGTGGCTCCTTTCTGTGGTTAGGCATCTTTGTACACCTCTGCCCCTGTCCTGTACCAGACAGACGTGAAAGATCAGAATTGTGTCTCTTTCTTTCCTCTCTTGCATGAGACCTCGACCACAGCTGCTTCTGATAGTGACGGCTGCACCTACATACGAGGCATCAAACCCAGGGTTATTTGGCTTTCCCACTGAATTGTCTGGCATCTAGCCCCTTTTCCTGGCAACTGGCTTCTCGGCTCTGGTGCCTCATACTATGAGTTCAGGTGTTGTAATTCTCCCAGCTTTTATACATCATGGAGGCAGCCATGAGGGAAGAACAGTTTCTTCTATATACCAAGCTAGTATAGACATGTCAGTCACATGTTAACATCTAGGGAATGGGGCTTGATTATGCTGGAAATCCACAGGCTTCTTCCTTAGAAAATTCTTAATTTAGTGCTCTGGGCAAAAAACAAATCAAGCATAAGCTATAAGCAAGTGAAATGCCTCCAGAACAGAAGAGATGTAGTAATTTACCAAGTTGAATCACATTGATGAACAAAAGACATGTTATCCAGGACACGTTAACTATACTATTTAAACTGTCTTCAGCAGTGTAAGGAGGGGAATTAAGAGGACACTCCTGCCCTGCTGACCTGACAGTTGGGTGGTACATAGTAAGCGGTTGTATAGCTTTCTTTTGTGTACCAGACCAGTTCCATAAAACATTTGAGTCAACTTGGTCTTTAGCCTGGGAAACTGGCTTGGCTTCATTATATTTAACTCACAATTTAAGGTATAAGCTAGAACTTTCCTGCCTCTTACTGTAAAAACTTTTCTAATCCAATGCTATCTTCAGAACAAAGCACAGATACATGGGAAAGGTTTTTACCTGCTTCCAGGGAGAAGTTTCCAAGTTAAGGATCCTGGGTTTTGGAGGTAATTCCTTAGCAATATTCAGATCTCCCCTTATGAAGTCTTTCTCTGTTGTGTTGTGTTCTATTTCTGATGTATAGGAAAGGACCTGAACTTGGAACAGAACTGGATTTGAATTCTGCCCCTTCTGCTTAGAATTATATGACCTTGGATAATTCATTCTGGTTCTCCGAATCACAATTTTCCTTTATGAAAAACGTAGATAATAATACCCATTTCCTAAGGTTTTTATGAAGAATAAAAGAAAGCATTCTATGAGTAAATATGCAAATGTAGGAATTTCTCTTTGTTTATCTTGATTGGATTAATTTAGCATCTATAGTGTATGAATTCATATGTTCTGGAAAATTTTTAGCCATTATCTCTTTAAATTTTGCCTCTGCCCCATTCTCTCTCTACTCCTCCTCTGAAACTCTGATTCAGTGCAAGACTTTCTCATTCTAGCCTCCAGGTCTACTAACTTCCACATTTTCCATCTTTTGATCCTTTCTGCATTGAACTGGAACCCCAAAGGACTCAACTTAAGGATAAACTAGAACTAAACCTGTACCTCTAAATCAGGACTGCAGGAAACATTCCCAGAGCTCTGAGCAGATCAGGGCAGTAAGTCAATAAAAAAGAAACGCTTGATACTCACAGCCAGGGCTTTCATCACTCAGGTGATCCACGGACTTCAAGCTATGAACTCCGTCCAAGGTCTTCCAGACTGGCAGTGCCTCCAAGCTCCTGGCAGAAGCAATTGCAGTCCCTCTCTGGAGGAAGACATGAATTCCTTACAGATAACTTTTCAAGGGAATGAATAGCTCACAGGAAAAACTACTAAGCACATAAGAAAACAAGACTCCATTAAAGAGAACCATGAACAACAGACAACAGAGGGGTACCCACAAAGACTTCTGAATTTGGAATTACCAGACACAGTTTATAAAGCAATTAGATAGATTGGTTAAAGATGGCAGAGTAGAAGGACGTGCTCTCACTCCCTCCTGCGAGAGCACCGGAATCACAACTAACTGCTGAACAATCATCGACAGGGAGACACTGGAACTCACCATAAAAGATACCCCATATCCAAAGACAAAGGAGAAGCCACAATGAGATGGTAGGAGGGGCGCAATCACAATAAAGTCAAATCCCATAACTGCTGGGTGAGTGACTCACAAACTGGAGAACACTTATACCACAGAAGTCCACCCACTGGAATGAAGGTTCTGAGCCCCACGTCAGGCATCTGAACCTGGGGTCCGGCAACGGGAGGACGAATTCCTAGAGAATTAGACTTTGAAGGCTAGTGGGATTTGATTGCAGGATTTCGACAGCACTGGGGGAAATGGAGACTCCATTCTTGGAGGGCACACACAAAGTAGTGTGCACATCAGGACTCAGGGGAAGGAGCGGTGAACCCATAGGAGACTGAACCAAACCTAACTGCTGGTGTTGAAGGGTCTGCTGCAGAGGCGGGGGCTGGCTTGGCTCACCGTGGGGACAAGGACATTGGCAGCAGAAGTTCAGGGAAGTACTCTCTGGCGTGAGCCTTCCCAGAGTCCACCATTAGCCCCACCAAAGAGCCCGGGTAGGCTCCAGTGTTGGATTGCCTCAGACCAAACAACCAAAAGGGAGGGAACCCAGCTCCACCCATCAGCAGACAAGCAGATTAAAGTTTTACTGAGCTCAGCCCAGCAGAGCAACAGCCAGCTCTACCCACCACCAGTCCCCCCCATCAGGAAACTTGCACAAGCCTCTTAGTTAGGCTCATCCACCAGAGGGCAGACAGCAGAAGCAAGAACTACAGTTCTGCAGCCTGTGGAACAAAAACCACATTCACAGAAAGATAAACAAGATGAAAAGGCAGAGGACTATGTACCAGATGAAGGAACAAGATAAAACCAGAGAAAAACAACTAAATGAAGTGGAGATAGGCAACCTTCCAGAAAAAGAATACAGAATAATGATAGTGAAGAAGATCCAGGACCTCGGAAAAGGAATAGAGGCAAAGATCGAGAATATGAAAGAAATGTTTAACAAAGACCTAGAAGAATTAAAGAACAAACAAAGATGAACAATACAATAACTGAAATGAAAACTACACTAGAAGGAATCAATAGCAGAATAACTGAGGCAGAAGAACCGATAAGTGACCTGGAAGACAAAATGGTGGTATTCACTGCTGCGGAACAGAATAAAGAGAAAAGAATGAAAAGAAATGAAGACCTAAGAGACCTCTGGGACAACATTAAATGCAACAACATCGCATTATAGGGGTCCCAGAAGGAGAAGAGAGAGAAAGGACCTGAGAAAATATTTGAAGAGATTATAGTCGAAAACTTCCCAAACATGGGAAAGGAAATAGCCACCCAAGTCCAAGAAGTGCAGACAGTCCCAGGCAGGATAAACCCAAGGAGAAACATGCCGAGCCGCATAGTAATCAAATTGGCAAAAATTAAAGACAAAGAAAAATTATTGAAAGCAGCAAGGGAAAAACGACAAATAACATACAAGGGAACTTCCATAAGGTTAACAGCTGATTTTTCAGCAGAAACTCTACAAGCCAGAAGGGAGTGGCATGACATATTTAAAGTGATAAAAGGGACATATTTAAAGTGATAAAAGGGAAGAACAAAGATTACTCCACCCGGCAAGGATCTCATTCCGATTCAATGGAGAAATCAAAAGCTTTACAAACAAGCAAAAGCTAAGAGATTTCGGCACCACCAAGCCAGCTCTACAACAAATGCTAAAGGAACTGCTCTAAATGGGAAACACAAGAGAAGAAAAGGACCTACAAAAACAAACCCAAAACAATTAAGAAAATGGTAATAGGAACATACATATCTATAATTACCTTAATCATGAAAGGATTAAATGCTCCAACCAAAAGACACAGGCTCGCTGAATGGATACAAAAATAAAACCCATCGATATGCTGTCTACAAGAGACCCACTTCAGACCTAGGACACATACAGACTGAAAGTGAGGGGATGGAA